TCCAATCAATTTAACAAGTTTCATTGCAGAAACATTAGAGAACATCTCTCCCCCTTTTGTGAAAGCTCCCCCCCCCCCCTCTTTCCTCCCTCTTTTCTCACTTTCTGTTTTTTTTTCAGGTCTTCGAGTTTTCCAACAGATAACAGATAATCTAACCAAACCAAACCAAACCAACGACTACCACTCGACTACCAATCAACAAGAAATACCATGATCAGAACGAGTTTGGAAGAATGAAGGAGACCGAGTAACTCACGCCACATCCAACTACCAACTACTACGACTACCAACAACTACCTAGTTTGCGATATCAGCATCCGCTGGAAGCGAACGTTAACTTGTCATCTACCTACCTACCTACCTTATTTTGTATCATTACTTGATAAAGACGAAAGAATCATCGTCGTAACGTCGCAAGTTATTTATTAAAGTAATTGTTATCCATATAATTGTGTTCGTGTTAATTATTCAGAACAAATTACCCATTTAATTTTTTCCAAGACAAAATTGGTTGGGACTTAAAAATATAATCCATATAATTGTGTTCGTGTTAATTGTTCAGAACAAATTACCCATTTACATTTTTGCTAAGACAAAATTGGTTGGGACTTAGAAATATAATCCATATAATTGTGTTAGTGTTAATTGTTCAGAACAAATTACCCATTTACATTTTTGCTAAGACAAAATTGGTTGGGACTTAGAAATATATTCCATATAATTGTGTTCGTGTTAATTGTTCAGAACAAATTACCCATTTACATTTTTGCTGAGACAAAATTGGTTGGGACTTAGAAATTTGAAGTATTTCATTGAAAAACACGAATGACCTCCCATCTCTCATGGTAATCAAATGGATTGGGTGTTCCAATAGTGGGAGTTAATAGTGGGAGATCATCTGTTTAAAAGAAGACAAAGAGATCAGGAGAAATGGAAAGAAATAACCTCTTGATGATATCCGGAAGATAATTTTGTTATTGAAAATGGTGGTCACATTGACGAAGATATTCGTGAAATTACAACAGTAACTTTTGACATGGCATTTTCTATAAGGAATTTTAAAAAGCTGATTTTTAAACAAATTTTTTTTTGTGAAAATATGTCTTATATCTCTGCAATTATGAGGGCAAATTATGATGGACTCAGCATGATACTTTTATCAAAGATAGCTTGCCAGGCAAGGTAACATACGCCCACTGGCAGCTGTCAGAAATGATTAAACAGTCTTTAGTGACTACAGGGTTGCACAATATAGCTAATAGAGTGAAACGTCAAGTCAGACACGATATTTCGGTGAAATATTATCCGATCATCGCAAAAATCGATAAGGATCATCTTCATAATGACATTGACATAAAAAATAAAAATCAAAAGAATCTGTAAACAATTGTAGCCTGTAGAGTGAGCACGAGTTGCACAATATAGCTAATAGAGGAAAACGTCATGTCAGACACGATATTTCGGTGAAAAATTATCCGATCATCATGAAAATCGATAGATCATCATGAAAATCAATAGGGATCATCTTCATAACGACATAGACATACAAAATAAAAATCAAAAGAATCTGTAAAGAATTGTAGCCTGAGAGTGAGCACGAGTTGCACAATATAGCTAATAGAGTAAAACGTCAAGTCAGACACGATATTTCGGTGAAATATTATCCGATCATCGCGAAAATCGATAGGGATCATCTTCATAATGACATTGACATACAAAATAAAAATCAAAAGAATCTGTAAACAATTGTAGCCTGTAGAGTGAGCACGAGTTGCACAATATAGCTAATAGAGTAAAACGTCAGGTCAGACACGATATTTCGGTGAAAAATTATCCGATCATCATGAAAATCGATAGATCATCATGAAAATCAATAGGGATCATCTTCATAACGACATAGACATACAAAATAAAAATTAAAAGAATATGTAAAGAATTGTAGCCTGTAGAGTGAGCACGAGTTGCACAATATAGCTAATAGAGTAAAACGTCAAGTCAGACACGATATTTCG